TAGAGAAAAGATTAAGGGATGAAGAGTGAGATAAGAGAAAAGAGCGAGGGGAAGGAAAAGAGAGGAGAGAGAAATGGAAAGAGAGCATGAGTGAGGGAGCAGAGAGAGGAAGGAGGTAAGGGAAGGATAAGATGATAGGAGGCAAGTGGATAAGATGAGAAAGGGAGAGAGGGAGGGAGGAGAAAATAAGGAGGTGGAGAAAGGGAGGGAAAGGGGAGAAAGCAAAGCGAGCAGGCAGAGAGAGAAGAGAGATAGGAGGGAGAAGAGAGGAAAGGTGGGAGAGAAGAGAGAGGTGAAGAAAGGAGAGACAGAAGAGAGAGAAGAGGAAATGAGAGAGAGAAGAGCAAGGAGAGAAAGGAGAGAAAACAGAATAAAGAAGAGGACAGAGAAGAGAAGGAAAAAGAGAGAGAGAGTGAGAGATATATACAAGGAGAAAAAGAGATAGACAGATAGGCAGAGAAAAGTGAGAGGGAAAATTGGTGGGATAAAGAAGAGAGAAAAAGATGACAAACAAGAGAAGAGGATGTGATTAAAACTTAATGTATTTGTTCTTTGTGCTTAGTGCTCCAAGTGCAACAGTCACGAGTGCAGAGTAGCAGTCCACAAGTCCACGCGCGTAGTACATCCTTCCGAGGTCTTGTTTTATGTATGCCATGTCAAGTTTATGATTGAGAGAGAACGAGATAGCTTTAGCAGAGACAAGGTTTATGAGTCTGAGATCAATTAATTCTTAGAAGTTCAAGTTAGGCGGATGATGCAGCAAAATGACTTAGGGATGTGGGATTGAAGATTACGTAAAAGAAGGAAAGAAAAAAAAAAAAGTGGCCTTTAGAGTGATGATGTTATCAAGGCTTTCAAACGTCAACTGTTTTTGTACGAGGAAGAGTGCGGACGGATGGATGAACTCACCTGATTTTAACTCCCGAAGGATTGGAATTGCGTTATTGGAGTGTAAGTGAGGAAGGGAGAGAAAAGGGATTAGAGAGATTAAGCGAGATAGGTGATGCTGAGCAGATTAAAGGGGCCGAGTAAATGTATGAATGAACGCTCGAGATGAGCTAATGCCTTGCACAGCGTCATGAAGCAGGTCATGGAACTGTTTGAAGGGCTGACTCTGTCATTTAGATATTAGTTGTATGTTTTCCTCGAGTTTTCCTGTGACTTTTTGGTTATGCAGGAAATCAAAACTTTTGAAAGATTAGATATACAGAGAAAGGAGTTTTGGCCATGTGTGTATAGATTGGTGTTTTCTGTACTAAATGCTGCTGTACACTAAGGTACCAAGGGTAGCACTTAGGAATTCAGCAAGACTCTTGTGTCTGTGAACACCATGTAGTTATCTCACTCTATTCTTTGTAAGTGTTCATCATGCCTTTTTGAAAGATAGTTTGCATATGAGTTCAGTTGCTCTCATTACGCTATTTAGTTTTATGGTTGTCATTTAGGCAGGTAGCTAATGTTTACTGTATTTTTAGTGGCAGCGATTTGTAGAATAGGCAAACATGCACAGTACTGTAAACTTTGTTCATGTGGGCAAGATGGGTGGGTTAAAAATGTCGCAAAAAAAAAGTGTGCGAGATTAGGGCACCATCTCTGGGGGAAGGGGGGGATGTATGGGAGCCACTGATGTAAACCTTATAAGAAAGAATGTGTAAATGCATTCTTCATTAAAGTTTATGGAATACTCAGCAACATAGAGAATTTTATTCTCATAGAAAACTGTCACCCTTATTTACCCATAATAAAAAATTTGCTGACCATGTTTGCTGGGTAAATTAGGCACAAAAACTTTGAAAGAAAAGAGAGAATTCAGAGTCATGGTGATTAAATCTTATCTTTTTTCCTTAATTCTAGTTCTGCCACCTGTGCTGGTGCCACGCCACTCTGAATTTGCGCCTGGCCACTCACTCCTGACGTTCCAGCAGCAGCACCCAGAGCCCATGCCCAACAATGTCTCGTTCTCGCAGAACGGTTTTGTGCATTCCCCCATGGGAGGGGCATCTCACCCCCAGATGGGAAGCCAGACCATCACAGGCGTCAACCAGCCTCCCTCGCCGGTCGTTAGCCCCTCCAGCCAAAGTCCCCTCAGTCCCTACTGCAATTTTCCTGGTAAGTGTTTGAAGAGACCTTTCTGTGGTCTGTCTCTTCTCTTTTCCTTTTCAATTGTATTTTCTCTTTCTGTTTTTCTGTCTCCCTCTTATAGCTAAATCCTAACAAGCCTTCTATTCATGCTGTCACAGCAGCAGAGCTCCTTGTAGATGCCTTGTTGTTGGGTCTTGGAATGTGTACTTGTAGTCCTAATGGTATTATCAGTGAAAGGAGTCAGGCAACGAGGTTGTGTAGGTCCTGTTGCTCTTCCAGCAGAGTGATCATTGTTACATTTGTCAAAATCATAGGATTGAGATTTGGTTTGTTGGTGTGTGTTCTTGTTATACACACTCTGTCTTGCAGTTTCCAAATCTGATAGCACGGCAGTGAAATTCTGTTCTTTTACTGTGGTGGATATCTGAGGTTTAAGGAAGCTAGGATTATGTCACTATTTATTATTATTCTAATCTTTATTTCTTCCCAAATATTTTCCTGACTTAGGTACAGTGATAACTAATGAGTAGTGATAGTCCATCCTGTAGATGGTTGTCAGCAAGAGTAACTCATTTTAGTTAGTTTGGAGGGTGATTAACATAATATTTTAACTGGACATAGGGCTGCAGGGCTGCACATCCAGCAGTGCAATTTTATATGATGTATATGAAGTTATGAGATTGAAAAGTCTTGATGGAGAATTCAGAATAAGAAGAGGAGCAAGAAAATAAAACAGTCCAGAAAATGTTTGCATTGATTCCATGCTTTTCCCCTCACAGGAGGTGGAAATCTGGGTGGCCTGAACCAGCCACCGTCTCCTGTTGTCAGTCCATCCAGTCAGAGTCCTCACAGTCCTTATGCCAGTACCCCGGGTCAGTACAGGAGGTCCTCTGCTCCCTGTGAATCCATTTGTTTACTTGTTTATTTACTTTTTTCTATTATATTACATGCATCTTTTGAGGGCAGTGTTCACGGCAACCCAAGCGTTATAATGCATGATTGCAGGTAGACAAGGAGACAGAATGTGTGAGAGTTGAAACTATATTTGTGAAAGATTCTTGATTCCTCTTAGGACTCTGAACAAAATTTTGATCAGCAAACCTAGATGGACCTCATCCTCTTTGAACAATAGATGTAGTCTTATTGGCAAGTTTTGTGACATGTTTCCTCTGAAAGCTGACACTTGTCTGTGCTGCTGTCTACTTAAAAAAAAAAGAAAAATAATGATGATAATAATGATAGAACATTTTCTTACCTTTTGCATTATGTGCAAAGTCCTTTAACCTTTTCATAGTCTTAACTTATGTTCAAGGCTAGTATATTATCTCATTAGGTTTCTCCTTTGTTCATGTTGCTGTGTATGAAATTAAGATCAGTTTGTAAGAAAATAAATATTAAAGTTGTAAAAAATAGATCATACAGATTTGATGCATTCTGTGCGGTAACTAGATGTGTTTACCACCAAAGCAGATACACCACCTCCTGCATACAGTCCAAGTGAGGATATCAAGCAGACCCAGCAGACAGACACTGCTATGGACATTGCTCCAGTAGGGACAGCGATAAACTCTAATGTCACACCTGTTACATACCAGGTAAGAATAATATATATATATTTATAAAAGAGAAGACTTTAGAATAGTTTTCTAATATTTGTGGAGAACTGATTACCTAAAGATTTTATAAAGTTATCAAATTTTTACAGTTATTATATATTTAAAACCAATATCTTGGTGTATGAAAATAATATTATATCATTCTTTTTTCTTTTTACAGGAGCCAACATACTGGTCAAGTATAGCGTATTACGAGTTGAACAACCGCGTAGGGGAGGTCTTTCATGCCCATGGGCACTCTGTCATAGTGGACGGGTTTACAGACCCAAGCAACAACTCCGAGCGCTTTTGCTTAGGGTTGCTGTCCAATGTTAACCGAAATTCTACAATTGAAAACACAAGAAGACACATTGGAAAAGGTGAGTGTGAGGAAGTGGACGCAAGGGATGTGTCAAGGCAGTAACTTGTGTTGTCTGTGCTTGGAGGAGGGTACCCTTGTGCATTGCTTTATGACTTGTAGTTCATGGGTGACAGTCTCGACAATTTCTTCATAGTTGCCATAAAAAAAATAATTGACTGATAAAAGGAATTTTTAAATTTTAAGGAACAAACTCCATTTGATACTGACCACTTCACATTTGCAGGAGTCCATCTCTACTACGTGGGAGGGGAAGTGTATGCCGAATGTCTGTCCGACTCGGCCATCTTCGTGCAGTCCCGCAACTGCAATCACCACCACGGCTTCCACCCCTCCACTGTGTGCAAGATCCCACCGGGCTGTTCCCTCAAGATCTTCAACAATCAGGAGTTTGCTCAGCTCCTGTCGCAGAGTGTCAACCATGGCTACGAGGCTGTCTTTGACCTCACAAAAATGTGCACAATAAGGTGAGCTCGAGTCCCTCTGCTCGAGAACAGCCTGAGTAGGGCAATGGTTAGTCTTTGTGTGATATCTGAACAGGAAAAAGTATCAGTTTTGTTATTTGTGTTCTTTGAAGATTATTATTATTATTAATTTTGATGATAAAAGTAAATTTTCTCTCCCTCCCCCTTCTCTCTCTCTCTCTCTCTCCTTCCTTCTCTCTCTCTCTCTCTCCTTCCTTCT